GTCACGGTGGTTCTTTCATGACATTTTTATCCCAACTCAGGCATTCAGGTGCTGGGGTGAATACAGCATGAACCTCTTTGGCTGGGCTGCCACCCCATCCCGGGAGCAGGGAGGGCTGTAAGGGGATGCAGCCCCGCTCAGAGGTGAATTCCACCCACGGAGCGGCGTTTCCAAGAGCACCGTGACGTGGGCTCGGTTTACAGCTCGGCTTTCAAGCCACCCTCACAAAATGTAGAGGCAGCGGTGTCAGGAGCTCTCCTGACAGCTCCTTTCAGGAGGGGATGCCGTGAAGAGCTGTCACGCTATGAGTCAGCTGTTCTGCCAGGGCTGGCATTCCAGGCAGGAAGAGCCTGCTCGTGGAGCTATCCCAACCACGCCGCCTGCCAAAACCACACTGGGAATCCCATGGGAACAAGCCCTCTCCTGAGCCAGCTGGTACTTCCTGCTCCCGAGGCCTGATCCTGCTGGATGCTGAGCATTCTTTGTTCCATTTTTAAATTCATGAGGCTTGAGCAATGCACGGTCCGAGACCCCGGAGGGGGAACAGCCCCTCAGTGTTTTTAGGCATGTGGCCCAGCTGGAGAGGAGGGAGTGAAGTGTCAGGCTTGAGGGGAGATCTGAGAGATGCCAATCGCCTGGAAAATGGATCTTTAATCTGGATATTTTAACCAGGTTCTCTGAGCTGGCCATCGCCCCCCACAGCCCTCTCCTCTGTACCCCCACCCCATGGCATGGCTGGAGAGGGGCTCCCCCAAAACTGGCTGCCCCTCACAGCATCCTCCTCCCACTCAAGGCTCCAGGGAGATGATCACCAGCATGGGACTCGCTCCCATCCTATCCCAACAGTGTCCCCTTGAGGCTGGTGGCTGAGGCAGCCTGGGAAGAGCCCTCAAAGAGCTGTGGGGGAACCCCAGAAGCTGCTCTTTATTTCCAGGCTGGCCCACACAACAAATCCCGCAGGCCAGCCTGAGTGGAGGATGCTGGAGGAGCCCACCCCAAGCTGGGGTGTGGGACCTCCACACCTGGGAGTGGAGCACTTGGAGAACCACTCGGATGAGCGTCTTCCTTCACAGGTTCACTCTGTGAACATCCACGTTCAGCCACCGCAGCCCGTCCTGCAGCACAGCAGCTCGGGCCGGGAGCGTGGGAGCTCCTCCAGCATCTCCAGGAGCTGGAGCAGGGCCATGGCTGCTCCGTGGGGCTGTGCAGCTGCTGTGGAGAGGGGACGGGGCTCCCTCACTGCTGCTGCCGCCGCCGGAGTCTCCTTTCTTCTGTCAGCCAAGCAGCAGGGAGTTTTCTGAGAAACTGCCCACAGGGAGCGATCACTTTTTCCAGTCATTAACCTCACACATCCCTCACATTATCGGAATACCTTGGATGTCTAAGTTGCTGCAGTGAGCTAATTCCTCCAGGTGACTGCAGGCAGCGTTAAGTGGGCTCCTGCACAGCGAGGGGATTTGAACTGCCAGAGCTGAAAGCGCTCCCGACTCCAGCACGCCAGGCCTCCAGCGGGGGCAGAGCCTCAGATGTCACCGTGCGAGCACAGAGCGGTGGCAGGAGGGATCCAGGGCCTCTGGAGCTGTCGCATTCCTCCTCCGCTCAGCAGGCACCTGGGGGGGTCCACGGGAGAAGGGAGGAGAGCAAGGCACTGGCTTGAGGTGCACAAGGCAGGGGCCTCTCTCCCCACCACGGGAAAAAACTGCAGGAGTTCTCAAGTTGAAAGATATTGGGGGAAAAAAGCAGTGCCCTGAAGGGAAAAATGTTGGGAACCCCCAGTGCTGGCCTCTGGGATAGGGATGTACCTGTCTGTCTGGGTGTCACTGCATTCCAGCACTGACAGAGCAGCATTTTTGGATCCTGAAGTCCCTCCTCTGGTGTAGAAGATGAACATGAGGAGTAGAACACAAGGAGGTTCCCAAGAGGAGCCCCAAACCAATGAGAGAAATATTAACAGTAGGATGGCTCCTGTCCTGTGTATATTAAATATCATATTAGTAACTGTTACACATCACAATGTCCTCCTGTCATGCTTCCTGGATCATATGTTGTCAGTGTTCCATCAGGAGTGGCTGAATAACAATATTAACCAAAATAATCACAAAAGACACGGCATTTGTGCCATCAATAATAGGTGCCACCACCAGTGACTGTGGAGCAGGACCAGGTCCCTCTGACAGAGCAAAGCCAGCGAGAGCCAATGTGCATTTCTACTAGAGAAGCATCCTGGGCAGTGTGGGGCATCAGCCTCGTGCCCAACCCTCAGCTCCCCTGGGAAGGAGTCTTTGGAGACAGAAACAGCCCCTTGATCTTCTCAAACTGCCCTGTGAAGAGACGTGTCACCCCAAGCCTGGGGGAAACGGGGAGCACTGAATGTGAGGAGAGATTTAAATCCCACAGCAGGAGTGAGGAACCACATCAGCCACACAGGTAAAGCTCCATTTATGATCAAAAGTACAAAACAGCAACATCAGAAGTCACAGGTCATGGCCAAGTTACAGAACAGGGACCCACAGCACACACAGTGAGAAAACTCCTCCATGTGATTGAAACACCACCTTCAAACACCACACAACATAAGGAAGGCAATGGTCTAACACTCCTGGTATCAGCACAGGTAAAGGCCGTGGCAATGCATCAATAAGAGTTTGGAGGGTCCCAAAATTTGGTTTGGATCTTCCCAAGGTGTTTCTGGGATGCAGTTCAAGCTGTGGTTTCAAACCCATGCACTGGGAAGCTGGAGCAAGTGCAGGAGGGCTCTGGAGCCTCTGCTCTCCCCCTGCACTCCTTGCCCTCTGGGATCAGTTTTGGTTTGGATGAAGGAATGATGCTGTGCCACACCGCTTCTCATGGGGGGGCACTTTATTTTCCCCAGCAATCATCTGTGTCTTAACCAACTTGCTTTCAAATTAAAACATTATTATTATTAAGAGGTGGACCCAGGCTGGGGACACAAACACGCCCCAATCTTGGCACTGCAGCTCGAGTCCTGCTGTGAAAAACCCCTGCCAGCCCTGCTCCAGCTGTGCTGTGTTCAGTGTGCTGACACCTCATGGCCAAGCAAGAAACTCCAGTAAGACACCGTTTCCAGGACATTCACACACACATACACTCTCCATCTGCTCCAAGGCCAGGAAAGAGGTTCATTTATAGAGAAATCTGTCATGAACAGAGCTAGATATATCAAAGATAGGAAACAAAAACCAGTCCAGAAACACTCTGAGTTCTTGGATGGCGAACGGGCACTGCAGGGTCTGTTGTCTGTCGCTGTGGTGGTCTGAGTGTCCCCAGTGCTGAGGGATGGCTCTAAGGTAGTTCTCCCACATGGTCCACGTGCTGAGCCGCTGCTGTCTCAGGCCTGGAAGGAGCATCCACACCGGGGCTGCTCGTTACCCCGCTCTCCCCTCCTCCGTGGGGGTCTCCCAGGGGCAGATGAGCTCCTTTGCAGAGTCCTTACGAGCCCGGGGGTGTCCGTCCTCCCCCTCCTCGGAGCCCTGGGGGCACACTCGGCTCTCCGAAGGCGCGTCCGCTCTGACTTGGAAGAAGCTGTGTTGTGAAACAGAGACTCATCACACACACACGGCACTTTTTGATGTGCTCCGAGGCAGCGAACCCAGCCCGGCTTTGAGACCTCCACTCTTCAAACCCCCAAATCCCCAGACAAAGCGCCCGGGCACGAGCCCCCAGAGAGGGAGAACGAGGGGAATGTGAGCTCCCAGCCCTTTGAAGCTGAGAACACCGTGTGACACAGCTCCGGAGCGCTGAGCCAGGTGGAGCAGGAGCCCCCAGGTTTGTGCTCTTGAATTTATAATGTGGACTCATCCACTCGGCCAGCAGCAGAGGTGGGTTAAATGAGATCAGGGACATGGTGCTCCGAGTGAGGGACACGGCCAGGGTTTGGTTCCAACAGGGAGAGCCCCTCCTGCAAAAAATTCCCCCTCTCACACCTCCTGCCCCGGAGCAACAAACGCTTCACGGCTCTCCCTCAAGATTTCTCCTCCCTTGTCACGTCTGGGTCTCCTCTGACTTGAAACCACTAAACCAAACCTGAACCAGCACTCAAGAACAAGCAAATGTAAGAGCGGTTTTCCAAACTGGGGGATTAAAAGTAAAGCCTGGGGGTTTGCACCCCTAAAGAGGAGGTGTGAGCACAGCAGAGGCACCACCAGAGTGGGCTCCTGCCCCGATCCCAACAGAAAACACATCCAATGTAGATGGTAGGCATGGAGACGGGAGAAGAGACTTTCAGAGCCTGGCTGGGATTTAGGGTGGGTGGCATGGGTGGGATTTGTGGGATTTAGCATCATGGGTAGGAAAGACAGCTGTGGGGCAGGTTCTTGGAGACCTCTGGCTAACTACGAACAGCAATGGTGGTGGAGGGGAGGATGCCCAGGTGCCTGGGCAGTACTGACCTGCTGACCACCTTGGCGTCCGGGCGCAGCCGCCGCTCCCGCTCTCCCAGCGGCTGCACCTTCCCGTGGGGCACGGCCGGGCAGCGGGGCGAGAGCGCGGCCACGGTGGGCGAGGTCCAGCAGCCCCTCCTCAGGAACCGGCCCAGGGAGCGGGCGGCCAGGCGGGACCTGCTGCTGCCCCAGGGGAAGGGTCCGGGCCCGGCCGCCTGGGGGTCGCTGTCCAGGGCCAGGCTGGTGGGCGAGGGGCAGGCGGTGCCCTGGGGCAGGGCCGGGGGGCCGGGCGGGGCGGGAGGCAGGGCGGGCGATGGAGGGGTGCTGGTGCCAGGGTGGGCAGCCGGGCGAGGGGCCCGGGAGGCGAGGTGGCACGGCTGTGGGGAGGAAAAGGAGACAGGCCCGGTCAGGCTCAGGGGTGGCATGCTGGGGGCTGGTCTCCCCAGGCTCCATCAGGAGGACAAGCCCTCTGCTTCTCTGGAGAAGGGCCCGGTGCCACAGTGCTGCCAGGAGAGACAGGGCTCAGCTGGGAGGCAGCTGTCAGCCACCCACCCCAGCCAGGCCTGTGCCAGTGTCCCCACCCTGCAGCTCTGCCCCCTTCCCTGCCCTCCAGCAGGAGCATGGGTGTCACAACTTGCCTACGGAAAGCAACGGGGTCATCGCTACCAGCCCCAGTGGGTGCTGACAGATCCGGCCCCATGCCTGCTGGGATGCTGGAGGAGACACCAGCTTGTCTCATTCCTCACAAGGATTAGCTCCAGGCACAGGGGAGCCTGTCATCCCGAGAATGTGATCTCGGTTATGAGCAGCACAGCCATGTCACACCCAAGGCACCGCTGCGCTGGCTGCTGCCTGCCCAAGAAACAGACACTGAGCCCAAGCCCTGACGGCTGGTGAGACAAATCACATCTTGTGCTGAAGCCCCCAGTGTCCCTGGCTGGGGCTGTGGAGGCTCCAGCTCAGCTCATTCAGCCCTCAGGACAAGCCCAAGTTTAAACTGGACAGGACAAGCACAGGACAAGCAGCAGAGGACAAGCTGCATGCTGGGTCCCCTCCCATTTCCCAAGGACTCACTCCCAGCAGAAATGAAATGCAGCTCAAGTGCCCAAGGAGAAGGGCTGAGGGCAGAGGCACACACAGAACATGTACACACACATGCAGTGATGACACAGTGAGCAATGAACACGCTGAGACGCAACAGAGAAGGATGAACTTGGTTCTTCTTCCATTTTCTACATTTATTTTTATTAGACAGATGAATGCGCGGGAGCGAGGGCCAAGAAATGAAACAACATATTGCTCTGATTTCCAATGGAAACAAACAATTTCTGGCACAAAGTGAAGTTCAGCTTGTACCAGGCGACCTTCCTCTTCGGGGACTGAGCAGCAAGGGACGAGGAGCAGAAGGCTGGGCCGTGCCAGCTCCTTCAGCCTGTGGCAGAGCAGAGCCAGCTCCTGCCTGTGTGTGTCAGACAGGTGTTCCACAAGCAGTGACTGGTGTTCCACAAACACAGTGACTCCTGAACATGCCACACTAACCCACGGCAGGGGAAGAGCGATGCAAAGCAGAGATGACGAAAAATCAGAGAAAGGAATGGGTACAGAGAACGTAACAAGCAAAGCAGCAGACAAAATAGAAGTAGAATCAGAGGGACTGACTGGAACACACAGATTTGTTATTTATTATTTATACCCTGACTTGATCTTCCACGTTACTACACACTGGCAATCCCAACATGCTCAGTGCTCCATGTTACACAGACTCTGGAGAGACTGCAGAGCTCATCACAGCCAAGTAGCTTTGGACCAACCCTGCCAGGGTTTGGAGTATCTTTCAGTGCTCTTATGTCAAGGTAGGCTGAGGGTGCTCAGCACCTGACATAACAAAGCCTTGGGGTTTTAGGAGGAATTAAAGAAAAGGCTGATCCTGCTCCCTTGCAGAGCGTTGCAAAATGTGCCTTTGCTTCCACCAGGAGTAAGAGCGGAGACAGCACAGGCCTTGACATCAGAGTGAAAGTCTCGGGCAACTCGGTTTCAATTCCTCTAAGAAGGTTTATCACTGATAGGTTAAGGAAGGTCAGGAAAATCTCCCTGCCTCAGCCACAAGTGAAGGAGACAAATTCTGCAGTGACACCAGAGCAGACTGTGCAGCCCTGATTCTGCCCCTGATAACACACAGGGGGAGGGCAGGACTCACTGTTCAGGCTGTTTTGGGACACAGTGACATCCTGACTGTCCCCCTGTTCACAGGCAGTTGTCCTGCATGGACTCCAGGACCCCAGGGCTCCAAGGGGCTGGTCTGCATGCACCCCATTATCTGAGGGCCCCCCTTCCCATCCAGTTTTCTCCAGAGGTTGTGGCTGCCCCATCCCTGAAAGTGTTCAAAGCCTGGCTGGATGGGGCTGAGCAACCTGGTTTGGTGGAAGGTGTCCCTGTCCATGGCAGGGGGTGGAATGAGATGATGTTTAAGGTCCCCTCCAATCCAATCCAATGATTCTATGATCTCCTATTTCCTGTAAAATCCTACCAGTATTTAAAATGGATGAACAATACAAACCAGAGAGAAGCAGCTTCCCAGACCTCAGTGCTTCCACACAGTCTCCCTACTTCCCTAAAATTTTAACAAACAAGGAAGATTTTCTGCCCCTCTAATTCCCTTTACTGGGCTTTGTAGGAATCTTTGCACTTCTGGTAATCATTGGCCTGGTCCAGACATGCTGTGCTTTCCCAGCAAGGCCTGGAATCTCCCTGAGCTCTTTAGCACTAAAATAGTATTTTAGTTTGCCTCATTCTACAGAGCAAAAGAGACAGAGCAAATAAAAAGAGGAACACTACTTAAAGTTGAAAACAGCTCTTAACACCTCTACCCTGTCCTCTCTTGCCTCTGGGCTACAACTGGGAACTACCTCCTGTTGGTTTTTTTAACAAGAGGAAACAGAAGAGCAGGAAAAAGACAAGACAAGAGGTGGGAAGGATTTGACAAAATCTCTCAAGGCCTCGTGCAGGCTCTTGGCACCTGCACACCCAGCTCACGGCACAGGGAGAGCAGAGCTTCCCACTGATCACCTCCAGCGTGCTGGGAGGAGGTGGGAGTGACATTCAAATTCAAAGGGTCAACCAAACCTTCAGAAACGCCCATGCTGCTGATCTCACAGGGAGCCTCCCTGGCCCTTCTGCCTGTGCTCCTGCTGCATTAGCTGGGAGGTGCAGGATATTTGGAGTGAGGGGTGTGCTCCTCTCAGGGGGTGTTGGATGCACCCCTTGGGAGGGTGCACGTCCCCCCACGGGATGGAAGCCAGCGTGGACACTCTGAGGTGGGTCACCTCTCCCTGCTCTCCCTGTCATCCATCTCTGCTCCCAGGAAGGCTGGTTTGGACCCAAAGGACTGGGATGGCAGCACTTTACTGGGTGCCATCCCACCTCCCTGAAGAGCAGGAGGCAGGGAGAGGCAGCTGGGCTACCCAGCCTCCTGAAGGGAATCTCAGGGCAGCCAGAAGTCATCTCCCCTCCGAGGTGTGTGTGTGGGGAGCCGGGGTCCTGCCCCCCGAGCCTGGCACAGGCAGCAGCCCGGCTCTGCCAGCACTCCCTGCCTGGCACGCCTGGGAATGACATCTGCTCTCCAGAAGCCATGGCAACGTGCAGGGAAGCCGGCTGGTGGCAGAGCCGGCCTGGGAAACCTAAAGCAGCACTGACACCTTCAGGAAGGGGAGACGAAGCTCAACACCGGCCTCGGCTTGTCTTTTCCCTGCGGGGCTCAGAGCCTACTTGGGAGGAGGGTCCTTCTGGGGCTGGTTCCTGCGGTCCAGCTTGCTCATGACCTGCGTGATGTCCACGGTGGCGGCGGCTTCCCTGGCTTTGGCCTCTTCCTCCTGCTGCCTCAGGATGATGGGGCTGGGGCTGGAGCGGAGGTGGCGGCGCCCGAACAAACCGGTGCTGGGAGGGAGTGAGGGAGAGGAGCAGGGTGTTAGTGAGGAGAAGGGCACCAAAAACTCACCCCTGGTAAGCAGAGTCACCAGGAGGGTGAGCTTGGACACAGGGATGGACAAAGAAATGGTGCAGAGGAGGTGGCTCAATTGTCACATGTCAGCTACAGAACTGCTACAAACGTAAAGGCAGTGCTGGAGCTCCTGAGGGGCTCCAGTGACCATCCACGCTCCTCTTGTTGTCGTGTTTACACATAACTAACACTGGCTGTGGAGCCAAACAGTGTCCATCAGTGGAATTTTCTCTAGTGCCCTCAGCAAGATCAAGAGAGGGACCTGTATGGGCGTTTCTTTGTGATACCTCAAAAAAACACCCACTACCTGCTACAGCAAAGCCACTTCCAGCACCAGTGGAAACCAGTGTCAGCCCAGCTCTGGATGAGGTACCAGCTCTCCAGCTTTACAGGATGCTGAGTACTGAGTGTTCAGAGCAAGTACTGACAAACACAAAGGCAGCCACCAGGATCAACCAGCACCAGCCAGTGACCTCGTGATGTGTGGCTCAGGGAAAAACTAACCAGACCCCAGGCAAGTCAGCAGCAGGGCTTTTTCCACTGCCTTGAAACAAGCTTCAGATGAAACAACAGTGTGAAAGTCCACGATTCCTCTTTCTTGCTTGCTAGGTTTGTGGAAGAGGAAGAGAGAGAGGAGCACATCACCCAGTCTGGCTCTGACACTGCCCGCTCAGCTTTAGGAGCAACTGCAGTTCAAATGGCCTAAATCTGCTGTACAACCTTCACCCTGCTCAGGAAAAACCCATTTCTGAGGTCATCCAGCTGTCACTCACAAGCAAGGTGCTGTTGTTCCCACGTGCCTGTCACCTTCCCTAAGCAGCTTTGTCCAGGCAGGGCTGAGCAGATCCCACGGAGGATCCTGAACCCTGGCTCTGCTCTGGCAGTCAATGTTCCATGGGCAGGAGTTTTCCCATGCCCAGGACACAGTGCTCACTCCTTCCAGGAAAGGAGCCATGATTAATTCAACAGTCACAGCCCTTCTAAACAGACCCAACAGAGGAGGCAGCTGAGAATTGTCGAGTCTATTCCGACTGTACACAAGCCACTTCCAAAGGGCTCATGAATAAACAGCACCACCGGTCTCAAAGCAAACCATCTTCTCAGCGAAAAATTTTATTTAATTAAGAGAACATCTAAATCATAGTAATTTTGCTGCAACTTGGGCTTTTTCTACCCTTGCTACAACAAGGAAAACAAACCCCACAATTACAGCCAGTTTCACTTGCCTTTTTTTGACAGTCTCTTGTGGCACAACAGCCTTGGCCAGCATTTCCTTGTATATTGGAGACTTTAAATAGCGGCCATAGGAGTCCTACTAGGAGAAAAAAGAAAAACTGGTAGTTATGGGCTGCAAACACCCTTATTAAAATCACCACCAAATACAGCTGCTCAGGAGCCAGGGAGGCTGGGAACTGGATAATCTCCCCCAGCAGCCCAAGGGACTTTGCATCTTTCAGGCAAATGTAGCTATTTAAACCAATACCCTTTCATCTTGGGTGTAAAATTCCCAGGATTTTCTATCTCACAATAAAGCTTCGAAGGTAAGACCAAGCTCAAAAGATCTGAGCGGAGCTTAACCCAGGCCAGCAGGGTGTCACAGTCACTGCAAGGTGAGGAGTTCGCATTTCAGGAGCCAAACTTTTCATTAGGGGGTGAAAAACCAGTCTGGTTCTGCTGCTTTCAGTGCAAGGGTGCAATGTGAGCTGGTGGAATTAGAAAGCAGGACTTCCAGCAGCCACCTGACCACCTTGGGGACAGGCTGCCTCAGAGGGAAGAACCAGCAGCCAAACACAAAGGCCTGAAGCAGCACTTGCTTAACTCAGCAAACTCGGGGGATTTTCAAACAAAGGCCCCTTGCAAGAGACTGCTGATAACACACAAAGGCACTGGGAAAGGCCCAGAGGACTGGAATCCCCCTGAGGCTTTGGAAACAAATCACAAACCTTTTTCATCAGCATGTAAATGTGGGTCTGAGCAGCATCTAGAACATATCGGTGAGGGTGCTTGAGGCCTTTGACTGTGATGCCCATTGTCGTGCCATCAATGTTAATCCAGCGCCGTGCTCCCGGAGCCAGGAAGAGCCTGCAAGGAGGAGGGATCCACAGTGCCATCAGCAGCTGGAGAATTCATGGGGATTCCTGCCTATGCACGAAAGGAAAAGTCCCTTCAGCTCCCCACTCGATTTGCTGTCCTGATCTTGGGCAATCTCCATGTCCAGAGACATGCAGACACTTCCTCTTGAGCTGTGAGCACACAGTATAAACCAAATTCTAGCCCACTGGAAGCTAAAGGGTCTTTCCACTCTCCTCATGGCAGCCCCAAGAACTTTGCTATTCCACACTGCTATTTAAATTACATGCTGATACTGAAATGTAATAGTGGAGAACAGAGAGGAAAAGTACCAACATAACAGAACAACACTTCTGCTTTCATCTCCAGAAGTTCCTATCCTATGTGAGGTCATAAGACAACCACAGGTTACACAGAAAAGTTTCAGGAATAAATCACTTGGAGAATGACAGCCAGTGGAAGGCGGTGGGACTCGTGTACAAAGAGTTTAAGAACATAAAATTTTCACACTCACTTGTAAATTTCCTCTGCTTTTTCTTTGACCTTGGATTGGTCTCCATACTTGAGATCCTCACAGGCTTCCCAGAAACTCAGATTCTCTCCTGCGTAACAAGGACACAATCAGCAGAGAGTGAGACTGAGGAAAACACATTCCCATTTATTAACTCCTAAGCTGAATTTGTTTGTTTCAATATGTGCTGGCCCTAAATCAGTCTCTCCACCTCTTCAGCCATTACAAAATCCTCTTGGGACTGAAGGAGTAAAACAGCCTTCCCCTGCTCTCTGCCCACTGCCACCTGTAAGAGCATGTGAGTTCAGCCAGTTCCAGCTTCTCCAGGAGGAGTCACAGAATCCTAGAATGCCTTGGGTTGGAAGGGACCTTAAAGATCATCTTGTTCCTTCCACCAGTCCAGGCTGCTCCAAGCCCCGTCCAACCTGGCCTTGGACACTCCCAGGGATGGGACAGCCACAGCTCTTCTGGGCAACCTGTGCCAGGGCCTCCCCACCCTCCCAGGGAAGAATTCCTTCCTAAAATCTCATCTGAACACGCCGGGAATGTCCTGGCTGTACCGTGTGTCCCATGCCACTAGATGGTACCACCTGCCCTGGCTGCACAGCCACTGCCTCCAGCAGCCCTTCCCCACCGGCACTCGGAATTGTCACTGCCTCGGCCCAGGGACACAGGCAGGGACACGGAGACACAGCAGACCCACCGCTGAACTCCTTCTTGAGGAAGAGCTGGAAGTTCTGCCGCCCTTTGGGGTCCCGGATCAGCTCGCTGAAGTTGAAGGCCCATCTCTCCACACGCATCCTGGTGGGGACTTCCACCCTGCCCCGGGGGAGAAAACAAACAGCACTGCCAACTTCATGTGGCCCACCTAATTAGTAGATTAATTGAAACCAAAATGCCCTTTGCTGGAATGCCAAGGGACTTCTCAGCACTCCCTGTTTTCCAGAATGGTGTAATGAGCTCCCAAAGTCAACCCACTAAGTAAGTTGTAATTAAACAACTTGGTCCGCAGCGGGATGAGGATTTAACTGGGATTTATGCTGCTCTCTGAGTGACAGCCCAGCTTTGCCCTGAGGTTTGACTCAGTCCCATTCTGGAGGAGGCGCTGGTTGCTGCCCAAAGCTCTGCTTCTCATAAAGGCATTCAGGGAAGGCATCCTCTGGGGCTGTCTAATGGGATAGGGTCACTCCAACAGGATTGCTGGTCTCACACAAGAACCAGTAAGATGTTGTTTGCTTCAAGCCCTGAGATGCCACTGTGTAATTAGCAAATATTATCCAGAGGGAAAAACAAGGGAGAAGGGACAGACCACCAGTGTGTGCCTCCAACCCAGAGTCTCTCCTGAGAAAGCAGCCTGAGGTGCGAGCAAAGACCACGGGGAGCAGCTGAACCCTGAACTGCTAAATCATTGTCAGCACCCAAAGCAGGATAACACTGAACCACGTGCTACACCTGAGTGTAACTCGTCACATCCCATTCTTGTGCTAGTAAAGGTGGACTTCACTCATCTAAGGGGTGGATGAGACACAATCCCATCATCAGTTCAGGAATTTCTGTAATGTTAAGGAAGGCTCCACTTCAAGAAGGCAGTGCATGGGGTATTCCCAAGTTTCTTTAGCGTGGCCCAGCTATGTTACAAAGGGAACATTAACTGCTCATGATCAGAGAACAGATATCACAATGAAATCAGTGGTTCCCTTTCCTGATTTCTATCAGCATAAAGGTCAGATTAAACCACGAGCTGGCAAAAGAATACAAATACATACAGCTTTGCATTGAGATCCCAGAACTCAGGGTCATCTGTTATCCAGGGGTTGCTGGGGAGGCATCCAGACAGGATAGGATCATTGGAGAGGAACTGCCCAGAGTACTTCACAATCCTGCAACAATTCCAAAATCAGAATATTAATTTGAAGCCAGAACTGCAGCCAGCCCCACCACAGCCACATAACTGGTTTTACAGTCTACAGATCTCCTCAGAGGTGCAGCCCTATCAGCAACAGGGATCTGGAATGTGACCCCCTGCCTTCCTAGAAAAACTTTTTCATTAGCTCCGTTAACCTTTTTCATTTCCCAAACAGAAATCTCCTGGCTGTCTTTCAAAGCAGTGGATTTGTCAGTTCAGGTGTAATGAGATATGAGACTCTTTAATCACCTCCTTTTGCCTCTTCACTTCAAGAAGTGGGACTAAGGCCCCCAAGTGGTTTCTGCCTCCTTCTCCAGTCAGTTGGCAAAGGGCTGATCCTGCACCATCCTGGGAGGGAAGGCCAGAAAAGAGGAACACAACAACTCTGTGCTGGCTCAGGTAGGTTCTCCCCAGCCTTCCCACGGGCTGTGGGAGAGCCCAGGGAGCTCCAGGAAACTGAGGGAGTCCTGAGGGCTCATCTCAGCTTCTCCTTTCCTCCCTCACCTACCACACAGCTCAATCCTCTGCAAATGGCTCTGAGGTCTTGGCACGAAGCAAAACTGTCTCTATCCCAGCAGGAACCAGACAAACACTTCTCCTACCTTCTAACTTGGCCAGACTTATAATTACAACCGATTTCACTAATGTCCTGGAATTTTAGCTCTCTCCTCCCTTTCTCATTCTTGAAAAAAAAAAAAAAAAAAGAATCATCTGGTTTCTGCGTTTAAAATTCCTCCCAGGCCAAAGTGCTTTCATGTGCTCAGAGCTGGGAGTGCACTGTCCAGGGACCCGTTGCTAACGGGCACCTTGGCACAGATCCTGCAGTTATAAAATGCTCCTGCACAAAGCAAACCACAGGCTGGCACACAAGTGCTCGATCCTATCTTCCCACTGCAAGTGCCAAGGCATCCAGCACCTGCATAATTCACTACAATCCATGTGTCCCAATCAAACAGATCTCGACCTGTCAACCCAGGTAACACAGCCCTGTGCTTTCGATGATGAGTGCTCTGGAGCTCCTCCTAAATCAGTGCAATGCTCTGAAGTGTGCACACTGTCTGGCTGCTGCTCATCAATAATAATTTGATTTGGACTCCAATCCTGCAGCTGACATGGAGCTCCAAATTTCCTGAGGATTTTTCGTCTGGGTGATAGGCATTATCCCATCAGAACCAATGAGTGAAAAGCTCCATTGCCAAATGGTTAATCAACACAAAATTCCTGGAAGGTAGCCAGGTGTCCCCAGCTCCAGCTCAGAAAATTGAGGCAGGAAGAGTTTGAAGTGACCTCGAGTCAGTGCCAGATGAAATGAGCGGAACTGCTGGTGCCCTGCAAGTTCTGGCTCTTGGAAAAAGGATTCTCCCTCCCATTTCATTCATCCATGACTGTCTTCTCCAGGGAACAGGCCTGAGCACCTTGTTTATCTTGGATCTGGTATGAATCTCTGGTGGCAAGGACTGTGGAAACCAGACAGGTGGTATGGGCTGCGCTTGGTCAGCACAGGAGGCTCAAGGTGAGAAATGCCTCTGGCAAACACACTAATGGCTCATGCCAGGACTGGATGCTTTGCACTTAACTGGCTTCATCAAGGAATCTGATCAGGAAACACTCCCACTGGGAAGAGGAATTGCTAATTAATTGGTTGGAAGTTCACGGAGAGGCCTGTGTTCCCCTGTAATACAGAACAACCAGTGACTTCCCAGCTCTGCTGCCTTCTGGTGAACATCACCACGGAGCAGAAACACTCACAGGGGTGAATCCAGCCCAGCAGGCTGGGGACCAGGAGCTGGAGAGTCAGCCTGTCCCCTCTGGCTTCTCATCCCTGCTGGACCCTCACGAGGCAGCTCCACTCAGCTGCTTTTCCAGACTGTGGAGCTGTGTCCCAGCACCACAGCCCGGCCCAGTCTGAGCATCCCTTGATTTCAGAGGGAATCTCAACCCAGAGGCTGGTGCTGCTCCCAGGGAGCCTCTTCATCCTGCCTGGGACTCTGATCCCTCCTCTGCCTCGTGTCTCCTGGCCCAGACAATGCAGAGCCCAGACAGCCTAGTGTGAGGCCACCACATCGATTCCCTGGCTGAGTCACCAGCTGCTGGAGCAGACAGCTTCATCAGCTCATTAGGAGATAAGCACTGAAGACTAATTAATGTGTGGACAGAAGGAAATCAGGACTTACGCTCCAAGAGAGACAGAAGATTTCACTCTGGTCTTCCCAATGGCCTGCTGATAGTACATGATCTGAGAGGGATCAGACATGGCCATGGTTAGGAGTCAGGAGATATCAAGACAAGGCCTATCTGAACCTCAAATATGCCCCCTCCCAGGTAGTGAGGCCAACTACAGCAGGGACTGCCTCTTCCTTAATTATTGCACGTCCAAGGAATCAGAGAATCCCTAAACTGCCTCAGTAAAATGTCTGTTTTCACTGAGCTTACTGCAAACATCAGAAGAGCATTTTGCAATGTGCAAGTAATTAAAAAGCACTCCCCATGCTATATAAAAATTGAATAATAGCTACCATCCTCGGCACCTACCAATACTCTGGATGATTTAGCATGTAATTATCATTGATTCTTGGCTGTCTCTGTGCTGGCGCCACTGGATGTATCTCCTGTGATTTCCCCACCACTAATTCTGATCTATTGGATTTAGCCCTGGTGTCTGTCCTTGCCTGAGCCTTCCCGTCACTGGGAGAGCTGCTGGCTGCCTGCACTGGGAGGTGCAGAGGCAGGGAATGTCCTGAAAGCTCACTGACCAAAAGCTCCACAGGGCAGGGACTCTGCTTTTCAAACACCCCCTGCACGGGGGGTTTGAGCCCCCATCCTACACTGATGAAAGCAACACACACAGGATGAACAGCTGGAAGTGAAGGAAGCACCACTTACCTCTCTCCTGTAAGATTCCATAGTATTTTTCTGTAAAAGAAAGAAAACCACTACATTGGGATGGCTGCTTACACTTGCTTTTTCTTTTTCTTTTTTTTTTTTTGAGACATGGAAACACCGTTGCAGGGCTGCCACTGTGCAGCGCTCTCCAATTAATTCTCATTACAATTAAAATCAAACACAGCAGCTGAGCTAATCAGGGTATCATCAAAGCTAAGAGCATCCACACACGGTAAATTGTCCCATTAGCTGTATTTACTGTTTAGCATTGCTTCTCCCATCACAGGCTGCCTGTATGCCTTCAATTAAGGGGTTATTCTAATGGAGCTAAAATAGATTCATTTACGAGACACAGATTAGATCATTCAATATTAGCTAAAGGAGACAGGAACCAACACATTGCAAAATATAAACACCACAATTAAAAGCCTCAGAAGCAGTATCTGCTGTGCAAGGGGTGTTTATGTTGTGATTTGAATAACTCAGACTATGTTACATGTCATCCACAAATGAGCAAGCAATTGAAGGCAAGAAATTAACTGCAGGGTGTTTATTCACACAGCTTCCTTTGAAGCACAGTTACTTTGTGTGAAATAAACTGCAGAAGGGAGAAGGAAAGACAGGCTAAGTCAGGGATGCTCCCAGCAAGATTTTAAAGGCTCAGGAGGGGTTTCTGTTCTTCGGTTCCCAAGATCTGGGCATCCCAGAAGTTCTATCAAAGTAACCCTGTGGCAGGCAGGGGTCTGCAGAGTGCCTTGGTGAAGTTTGGGAGAGGTGAGGGATGAAGCATCTGGTACCAAATGCCACAGGCAGCCCTGCTTCTCCTCTCATCTCCCCAAAGAACCTGCACCCCGAGCTGTCCCTATTTTGGGAAAGGGAAGATGCTCCCCCAGGGCTGCTCTGCCAGGGAACCATTGTGGTGCAGACCTGCTTTTGCATTTTAACCACCATCACTAGTCCCACTCAGGACAGAGAAACTGTTCTCCACGTGGAATAAAAATGAGCACATTTTGCTGAAACTTGCTTGGTTTTGGGAGGGCACACTCACCATTTCAGCAGCAGGAGCCAGATCAGATATGCAGCAGATCAGTCAATCTCTACAGCACTACCATGGAGCCAACCCATCTGACCCTAACACTGACCCAGCCTGGCCAGAGCAGCACCAACAGAAATCCTCATGGTGGCTTTGAGAGGGGAGGAAGCTTTTCCTGCTGGAAATGCCAGCTCTGAATGTGGCAGCACACATCATCTCAGCAGGGACAAACAGGACAGCAAACTTCCCTCACTGATTCACAGGCTCCTGGGACACATAACCAAGGAACAGCTTTTCACCCTTCTCTGCTCTGTGCTGCACCCCTGATGCCAGGTCACCTTCCATGTGGACATCATTTCTTCCCCCCATTCCTACAGTGTCGTTGTTTCAGACTGTAGAAACGGAAGGGCAAAAAAAAAAATCACCTGCTTGAGCAGAGAAATTTGCTGGTTTACTGTCCTAGAAGTGTTTCTGTTCCAGGCCAGCTGCCTCCTGCACAACAGGAGTTCACTCTCTCCTTGGGGAACCCGAGATATAAACCAGACCTCATCAGGTTTACAAGTGCCAGCTGAACAGTTCCATTTGATGGAACTTAAGTGTGGCTAAGGCACTGACTTTAACATATTAAAATCATTAGTTGTTTTTAAAAAAGACTATTTTCTTCCACTTTTTTGGCAAGTGGGGCCTCGGACAGGCCTGGTGCAGTGGGGTGAGGAGAGGTGGGTGCTGGCATAGTGGCTTGGAGGCAACTCATGTGGCAGTAAAGTGTGTTATCTTCTAGAGGGGTCTGAGAGGTTGGCAGCACACCACACACACACGAGACAAACAGCTGTTGGAAAGAGAAGAAGAACACAGTAAGTTAAATGTTACATAGAAAAAAGGAAAGGCATGAATTAAAAAATGCTATGACAATAGAAAAATTATATGTGGGTCAGTCAAAATCAAAGCTAATGCCATGTCTGCAAACAAGGGAAGATTTTATATTTTTTTTTAAGTGCACACTACACCAAGAATGCCCTCCTGCCGCTGTCTGAGAGTGGAGGGCAGTGTGGGGGACAGCTGGGCCTGAGAAAACCAGGGGGTCTTTGGTGGGGTGCACCAGGTGGGGAGGGGATTTGCCAAGGCTCACCCAGAAAATGGGGTCTGAGCACCACGGAACTGCAGCAGAACCAAAGGGGAGCCCAGAGCTGAGCACCCCGTGAGGCTGCAGGTGCTGGCTGTGCTCAGCCCTTTCCAGTTCCCAAATGGACAGTAACCGGGAAGAATCTCAGCTATTTCACCCCAGAGCTGCACATCATTTCATTTCCCTTTCTCCCACAGTGCTCCCACAACCAGTTCCCAGCTTCACTGCTGCCACAAGTGACCCTGAGCACTGCCAGCTGTCCCCACCATCCCACCCACCCTCACCCCCATGACTGGTTGCAGCGGTGCCAAAGAGCCCTGCACCACCCACTCACTCTCCCTTCATTTGGCAGGAAATCATAACTGGAACAAAAGGCTCATTTCTCATAATGAGATTAATTTTGCAATGCCCTTAACGAGTGACTTATCGCAATTACCGCGGATCAGCTCCCCAGCCCCGCGGGCTTCACACCAAAATGGCAATTAGTGAAAGGCCTGGGTCTGTCTCAGGCGAGTGCCACGAGCTGTTACACATCCTCCTCCTCCTCCTCTTCCTCCTCCTCCTCCCTGAGACACATCGTGGGCACTCGGGACACCCTGCCCGACCTTGTCACACCCCAGTGCCTCTGCAGAGCTGTGATAACCCGAGCCTGCCATGAGATCATCCCAACACTCCTCTCCACCGTGCTGGTGCATCCAGCCCAGCAGCTGGAAGTCAAATCTCTGACAGTCCATAAGCCCAGTTTCTCTCAGAGGGCCGGTTTTCCCCTGTCTTGTTGATCTGCTCCTGACCCTGCTCTTTCCGAAGATGTGATGATGCAGCAGAACTTTATCAGCCAAACTGACAGGGACTTATGAAATTAAAGGCCAGCAATGACTCGTTGATCTGTGGCAGATTTGCTGCATGCAACAAGCCAGGGCATCTCATTCAGCAGCCCCTGAGTCCAGCACAACGATTCTGTGGGGGAGCTAAAGCACCTTTCAGAAACCCTCTGGTTACAGGAGGTAGAAGCTGAGCATGAACCTGCAGGCACTCAGTGGGTCTGGCAGTTGCCTGGTAACTCTCTGAGCACTGAGGCTCAGTCATGAGTCTGAGAAGTGGGTAACAAAAGGCTAAAACATCACTTAATTAGCTGTTCAATGGATGGCTACTTCTCCTTTAGCTACAACCCCTAACTCATTATAACAGCAAGGGATGCCCATGGGTCAGTAATAAAAGTTCCCTTCAAAGGAGTTTGAGCACCTGTTTATTCCCAGAGGACTCTGTCAGTCAGGGAGGGAGCAGCCCACCAAAGGGTCTGAGCAAGTGAAAGATGTTCGTGCCAATATCAGCTTCAAAGAAGCCACTCTGATGTCAAAAATTAATAATTTTCTTTCTCAACTGCCAAGATAAAACCTCCAATTATTTGGCCAACAAAGTGAAGGTGGATTGAGCAGGAACAGGGACACAAATCAGAGCTTGGCCCATCCTTTCTGCTCACCAAAGCTGTTGAGCCACAGGTGTCTGTGAGAGGAGCCTGCAAGAAGTTAAAAAACAAAGCTGCCTGTCCAAAGGTGACTCTGTGTGGGCTTTTGGCTGCCTCACATGTTGTCAATCGCTCTCTCAAAAGCAAGAGGAGGAGCAAGAAGAACATCCCCTCTTCACCTCAGCCTCCAGAGACCAGCTCAGAGACCAGCTTAAAGGGGAAGGGCAGTGAAGTCACCCCAAAGCTGGTGTCTTTTCTGCACTGACAGGGAGAACTGACCACCTCTCATTCCAGAGTAGAACTGAACAGAGATCCCTCAGCTCACTTCCTCTTGGAGCTGGCAGATGGCTGTGGGCTTTCAGACCGTTTGCAAACCTAAAATCCTTCCCGTGTCAGCTGTAAAACTGTGGGCGAGGAGTTGGCTTAAAACTCTTTCCACCACTTCGTTACTCTTAAAAAAGATTAAAAAAAAAAAAAAGGCTTTCAACAGCTGCTACTTACAGCAAGGAAAAATAAAATACACCCCAAGCCTACACTTTGCTCCTTTTCAGTCTCTATAGCAACAGAACACAGCTGGCCAAAGCAATTATCCTGCCTCTGGCTGCTGAGATGTTTAAAGGCTGTTACAAAAACTGGAAGTTGGGGGAATACCTTGAGTGTGATCACAGTAACATTTGCATTTAATTGCTGAGAGATGCTTTGACTTTGCTTCCAAATGAACAGTCAAGTGAACAAATACAGGATCATTTCAAAGGACTGAAGGAGAAAGGGAAAGGCAGCTCCTCATCCACTGACTGCAACTGTCTTTTTGTGGCCTCCGAACCAGTTCACCCAGTTACAGCCTCCATGGTTTCAGTTCTTTAATTCTCTTTCTTTAAAGTCTATAATATGCAGTTTTTTGGGCAACATTTTGTGTCTCCCATCCACCACACCAAATTCTTCATCTTCTTACCACACAATAATTACCCTTTTGAAGGTATTCGGTCATTTGATTTTAAACTTGGATCTTTCCCCTGACCCTTTACACCCCACAACCCCGCTCAATTCATTCAGCACTAATAAAAAGGCAGCAACGAGCACCTGGAGACAGAGGGTTCCCTAATTAGGTCTCACCAGCAAAGAATACATGTCCTGTAGCCAAGCACTCACACTAACTGGTGTGGCAAGAAAGCTGACAAAGTATTTTCAAGCCAGAAGAAGCTGCCAAAGCCTATTTTGAAGCCCCACCTCCCAGACGAGACGACCTCAACCTCTGGCCTGTTGGGCTGATATGGCTGAGCTGACACACTCAGCCTGTGATGCCCAAAAAACAACAGTCCCAGGGACACTTCAAATTCACAAACAAATTCAGTAGGTGTGAATAAAAAAAAAAACCAAACAACTGTCTCACCTGGGTTACCTTATTCTCATTGGGATCGGTTACACGGTCCACTCCGTACTCCAGGACATCTTGCATGCCCGGCTGTGACGAACAAGAAAAATCAACAGCTTTGTAACCCTTTTGGTTTAAAAGCCTGTGGATCCCACAAATGCATGAGGAGACCCCTGAGCCCTGAAGGGCTCCACTGCCAGCAGTGCCCTGGGAAGCTCTGCCCCCCAGATCTGGGAATGCTCCACTCCGAGAGCAGCAAACACACAACCTCCTCTACTTACGGGGGTTCTGTTCACAAGCCAGTAGGCTCTCTCCTGGCAGTCCAGGGCGTACCTATCCTCCTTCTTCCGCTCCTTGCCTGCCCTGCAAAGCCAACAACAGGGGAATACGTGAATTTTCCCCTCCTAAAACCAGGGGGATGAGAAACCGAGCACACCTCCAGCCTCCCCTGCTCCGGGGTCCCAGCGTGTCACTCTGATGCTGCCTCCTGATCACACCTTGCCTCAGCTAATTCTGGGGCTGCAGATCATGTTCACATGGCTTTTGGGAAATCATCATCTTCCTGAGCCGAGCTGGGAGCTGACACATCCCCTTTTGATTAGACAGGCAGCCCTTTGGTAGCTTTATGCTGACTTGCCATCGGTCCTGCTGCTTCATGTTGATCCATCTCCGATGTCCCCAGGCAAAATATGAGGATTGCCACACAGAGATACATCCTGGACACGTCTCATCTCTGTCTCACAGCAAAGTGGGGCCATTTCTCACAAGAAATTATTTGGAAATGGTACCAAGGAGTGTTCCCAGGCACCAAACCCCAAATCACCTCTACAATTAAACAGAAGAGGCACTAGCATGGTTTGGGCTTGGACCAACTAATTCTTTCCCAGAAAAGTCCTGGGCACAATTTGGGACTTAGCATGGGGAAGGGAGCATTCCCAACAGGCTGTTTGCATGTGGCCTCCCTGCTGTGGTGAGCAGGGTGGATGCAGGCTGCTCTCACCAGTCTGCCCCAGCAGCACCAGCAAACAGCCGCAGACGAGTTTAATCTGCTAGTTCAGACATAGGCTCGGTATCTGACTTGAAAACTGCATTTGGCATCTCTTAGCCCAAGTCTGACCTCAATTTACAAGAACAACAGTCTCGTGTCTAATGAGACAGTTATCTGATGAGCTGTATTCCGGGGACTTGGCTGCCATCCCAGGGAAGACAGAGAGGCTGCTGAACAGCAGAGGCAGTGCCTGCCGTGCTGGGAGGTAAAAGGGATCCACAGGAGCAGGAAAGATCCTATTCCCAAAGGAGTAATCCCATCTAACATTCACTAACTTTCCTCTTTGAAGGATTCAGCCTCTAAAATCAAGTCATTCCAGCTGGGTGTCTCAGTATGCACCTCACAGTTTTCTCCAGAAGTCCCTGCTGGGAACATTTACTGCTTCTTCACTCAGGGAACTCCATTCAGCTGTGAGATGTGCAAGTAATAACTGATCCAGACCAACAACAGGCCCCAAGTCCAGTGGCCTGGTGCACAAACACTCCTGGACAACGCTGAGCTAAATGAAGCTGTCCCTAACGAGGGCTTGCACACTGCAGCATCAGACCTCAGACTCTTCAGGGAGCCACATCAGGTGCAAAACCCAAACCTCTCCTAAAAGTCATTTTAGAGCTGCAGTTGGTGTTTTTGAAGTGTAATTTAGCTGTGCACCAAGACAGCCAAACTCTGCTCCTTGAAACCCTCCCAAGTGATGCAAACAAGGGAATGAATGCAAGTCAACTCACTTATACTGCTCCTTGGCCTGCATAATAACAAAATCCCACTTGTAGTTGATTTTTTGATTGAGCATGTTGTAATGTTCCTGGAATAAAAATAAAAAAAGCAGTTAGTGTGAAAGTTCTGGCCAGGGCACTCCCATGCCAGGGTTTTCTTGACTCTCCATAGCTCAAGGAGGCCAGGCTGGTAAATGAGCCAGGAAATCTGGATTGTTCTGAACGTAATTACAAGAATTGCAACAGTTCAAAAATCCCATTGCAAGGAGGGCAATTACCCCTGTTAAAATTACAATTCACTTCACAGCATTTATCTGTACTGGTTGTTTTTACACTTGCAAAATTTGGGCTTTTGATACTGCTGGACTAACACCTCATGCAATTGAAGAGGTGATTTTTTGCTGTGCTCCATTAGCAAGAGAGGGCTAAAGCTGTAGCAAATGAGGGGCTTGGCATGGAACAAGTGCAGCATCTTCTCACCTTTTCATATTCTTCTAAAATCCCTTTCCTCTTAATGTTCTTCTTTGCCAGATAAATTGCTGTGCAGGGAGAAGCAAATAAGCAGTCAGTTATACTTAGACCAGCAAGTCCAAGAGCAATTAAAACAACTAAAAATCTACCCACATGACAAACACAGGAGTCTTTGTCTGCTGCAATATCTTCCTAACCATGAGCTCCAGGCTCACAAAAGCCCACTGGAGAAAAAAAGAACTCGGTGCTTTCACTTTGCCAGGGATGCCCAGGCTGGGAGCAGCCAGGCAGTGCCTTCTGCCAGGAGTCCTCTTTCCTTTGGGAACTCGGCCAGGCTTTCATGGATCAAGGGATACTGGACCAAATCCTTCAGACGCTGAGGTTCTTCAGAGTTTGACCTCCAAGCTTCCCGAGCACAGGCCAGTGTTTTGCTCGAGTTCTAATAAAAACATTCCAATCTAAAATGGGCTTTTTTATTTCCCCGGGGAGATCTAGAGAGTGATGCAGATAAAAGCCACAGAGGACAACGTTGGTGTAAACAAATCAGTCTGTGAACTGCACAGCCCACAGGAGCAGACCAAGCTCATCAGCCCAAGTTTCATGACCAGCTTTACACTAAAAAGCATCATAAAGGCAACACAAGATTTATATGGAAAGAGCCATCAGGAGATACTGGAAGCCACTGTGCATTCTATAAAGAAAGAACCATTTCTGAATGAAGAGCCTGATCCAAATCTACAGGAAGATAGTCTTGGGCTCAGATCCAGGAATACACTTAACTACTCAGGGAAATCTAATCCTGTGTTTAAAGTCTTCCCTACCCAGGAAGGTAATTCAGATGTGTTCCTGTCTGATGGATCTCAGTGAAACATAAGAGCTTAAGCACTTTCTCTCATCAAGGCCACCACAAGATGGTCACACCCTCAACTCAGCACTACTGAGAATTATTCACAAGAGAGCATGAAAAGAAATGCAAGGGCTGATCACTGCATGTGGAGACACAGCACGAGGACATGAAGAGCAAATGTGGTGCAGGACAACGTGAGCACAAAGCCAAGGGCCTTCCCTACACCTCCCAAACACGAGCAGTGCAGAACTCACCATAGTCTGTGTCGTCAGCAGCCCAGCCCTGCAAGGGCCAGAAATAGGGGTCTGAAGAGAAAGGAGTCTCTGGTTAGTGCACAGAGGCCTTGAACTCATGCCAAGAGGCACCTGGAACCACCCACACTGGAGGCAGGAACGTTCTCCTGTGCTGTACTCAGAGCCTCAGCTCCTCAGCTGCATGGCAGCTGGCACGGTGCTGCAGCACAGCTACAGAAGGAGAATCGACTGCCAATACCAAATCCACTCCACCTCTCCCATCCATAACATGGACAACCTCTCCCTGCTGCCCAAGCACTCAGACTGAGATGCTGGAGCCTGATTTGGCACCATGTGGGAACCAGACTCCTCATTCCAAGTACCAGTGAGGGCACTCTGATTTCCCATCGTGGTGGAAACAGTCCAACCACAAACACAGAAAACATCCCCTTATTACTGTGCTTTTAGTATATTCATTATTCAGTGATCCCAGATCATTCTACTTCCAACCAGCAATTCCATTTGCTACTTTAAGACCTGGAAGGGAACACACATTTGGAAGAAAGCACAGCTATTATTAGGCTGAACAAGTACACTGATTTAGTTGAAGAATCCATCACAGGTTCCCTGTAAACTGCAATCTGAGGCTTCTCTGTGGATCCTTTCCTCCTGCACACTGAACAACTGCAGGGCTGTACAGCCTGGACTCACAGCTCCTGGGGAACTGCCCCAGCTGCCTGTTTTTAATAAAAACTACTGCTGAATTCTCTCACACCAGCTTAGAGAAGCTGCAACTCACTTGAAACCTGTACAGGCTGCCATCTGCCTTGAGGGTGAGGTTCTTTGGCTCCTGAAGAGGGTAGATGTATCCATATTTGACAAACAGGTCTCCCAGGTGGAGTGCCTCTGTAAATGGAGAAGGCAGATGTTTTGATTGCACAGAAACACTGCACTGGAATTAAAAGTGAGCTGCTATGCAGGGGAGAAGAATTCACCTGAAAGGTTTTGTCTATGGAGACCTTAAAGTTTTGTAACTCGAAGCTGAAAAAGCCTCAATTTTCACATTTTTACCCACCTTCTGCAGTGATCTGCAAGCGCTGAAGGATCCACTGCAATATATCATTACCTGCAAAGCAAAATAAAACCCAACAGGGTGAAAGTGAGACCTCTCCAGTCCTGGCTCCTCACTGAGCTCTGGATCCCACCGAGGGCACAGACCCCTTTTTGCAAATGAACTTCCAAAGGCACCACACAAGGCAGCACAGATGAAATGCACTGCTGGTCTCCCACTGGCCATGCTGTCACTCACCAAGCCAGCACCATTCCCTGGGAGAGGGAGCCCGAGGCAGGCAGCGACCTTGGGATGGCACAGCAAGAGCCTGAGCAGCACCTAAACCCTCATCAGTGGCTTAGAGAGGGTTTCAGCAACACAGCCTTCACACCCAGGGAAGGTGAAATGTCCCTTGTTTTGCATCACCTTGTCTTGAAAGATTAACTGCAAAGAACCTCCAGATCGACAGGTCACAGTCCTGCCTCTGTGACTGGTCCTCTAAGAGTCCTTGAAGGAACAGAAGGGATATCTGAATCTCAGACCCAAGCTGCAGTGGTAAAAGGATTTATCAAAGGGAGACAAGATTTCTGCATTCACACACACCTTATCTCTCCCAGTTCTTCTCTTGGAGTGCGAGCAGTCGTACCCACAGTCAGCATAAATCTCCAGCAGTTTTAGTTTTATGTTCTGGGGGGGGGCAAATTTCATGAACCTCCTTCCATTTAAAGAGGGTAAAAATGCACTTGTTCCCTGATCAATTACTGGTGTTTCCTTCCAAACCTCCCTTGGGATTGCAGACTGAGGTGTTGACCTTTCTTGACATTGCAGTGATGACTTAACTTTCTAATAGGGGCTCAGAGCTCTTATCCTACTGCCTGCTTCCTGAAATAGATGAAATTAAAGGATTATCTCATCACTCATTTCTAGACAGCTCTCTCTGTAAGCACTTTCCCCCAAAGGCGCACATTTACCATCGAGGTTTATTTGCGAGCCATTTTACTGACTTTCAGTGAATTTAACTAGTTGGCTTCCTGCACATGCAGAGCCAGGCTCTCTCCAGTGGATCTGTGTCCACTGCTCCAATGCCCTCGCCACACCCTCACTAGACACAAATCAGTCTCTTTTGCAACACTCAGCAGTCCATCAGTACCCATGCAGCTTGTGCAGCACTAAAAATATCACAGTTTAGAGAGTGGTGAGCAAAGGGACTGGAACTCGCTTGCCTCTCAGAAGTTGACTAGAATTTATGACTTATGCAAGAGGCAACTTGCAGCACTTTTAGTTAAGGAACCAGAACGAAGTAGACAGCACGCAAAGAGGGTGAGTGCCAACAGGCACTGTCCCTCCACATCAGCCAGCCGTGGACTTTTGGGAAGTGGTATTTCATGTTGGGCAGACATCAAGAGAAGTTCTTGTTCCCCTTCACTTACTCTGTGTGGGACGTCATCTTCAGCACAGGGGAATCTTCCCTGCAGCGCTGCCTTAACTATTCCCTGACAGCTCTGGGAGGCAAGGCCAGCTCCTCTGTACATGCAAACCTCCACCAAATTCAGCTGCATAATAACTGTGTAAGCCAGGATGTGGTTTGCACTGCAATGCGTGGAGGCTGCTGCTGAGAACGAGCTTCAGATGTGTCCGAGCTCTCCTGACCCTTTCACTGACTGACTCTACCCATGGGCAAGTGATTCCAGTGCCTCTGCACCCTCACTTTGAAAAAAAAAAAAAATCGGGCCAAACAACACCCAGAGCCTACCAGACTTTGCAAACACAGTGGGGAAAGTCTCCTGAGTTGCCTGGAGCAAACTTTCCGGTTTCAGTGGGAGTTTTTGTTCTGAATTTCAAAGCGCAGCAGAAAGACCAGAGCGGGAGGAAGAAACTTGGGTAAGGGTATGTGTGAATATTTACAGCAGAGGGTTCCTCTGCTTTTGTGGAGACCTGGAGGGCAGGGAAGCAGAGGTACTGATAGTGCCCAGTGAAAGGAGCAGCAGGCACAAGGAGGCTGAGATAAGAGCTGCCTGTAACTCGGGAGTGACACAGCACAGCTCCTGTCTGCTGCTTCCTCAGCCTGCTTGAACGAGGCAAAGCTGTCACTTAGAGGCACAGAAGTGGGTTGAGTATTTTGTGCTTTTCCTGCCTACTAAATAAAAATTATTACTAGCAGTAAACATTAAATGGGAGGCTAATTGTTTATTGCTCATTTCTGAAGCACCATCTTTCAGTCTACCTCCAGGCTGCTTATTTTAATGGGGATTTAATATTTATCTTTATTTGTGATCCAGCCTCACTGGGAATATGGTAAGTCTGGAGGCTGTAGTACCTACTCACCTCTATGCTGAAGGAAAGCAAGGTCACTTGAGTTAACCCCCACGAGACAGCTGAAAGTGCAGGTTATCAATCTTTGTGTCTCCGACTCAAAGAGCAGGAATGAAATAAGACACAAGTGAGTATGAGATAAAGGGAGCAGGAACATCTCAAAGGATGTACAGCAAATATTTATTGGGAACATGGGCTGATTGGGAACATGGGCTCCAGGAGTCAGCCAGGCACTGGTAACCCTGGCCATGGGGTCCACACACACCAGCTTTTCTCTGCTGAACTTCCTTGGCCAGGTCCCTTCCCCAGGGAAGCTCTTACCTGTCACAGCATGTGGGATGCTGGCAACCATCACTGTCTGTGTCTGTGTCTTGATGCCTGTGTCTGGATTCTGCATCTCCATCATAAGTGCTTCGATCTGCAAAGCATGGGACGGGATGGATTACAGGAGTGGGCAGGAGGGAGCCCCAGGACCACTGCAGCATTCCAGAGGGGTGGGTAGTGGTGTGCCACAGGAATGGATTCGACAGCCACAGCCCTCTCCAAACCTGCCCCCTGCCAGGAGAGATGGCACCTCCAGACCATGTCAGCTCCCACACTGACTCACAGGGTCTCTCCCTCTCACTGAACACACAGCCAGGGTTAGCAGACCAGGGACAGGATGTAAGCACTCCATGAGAGCTGAGCTCAGAAAAAATAAATAAATAAATAAACCCTCTGTTACCCATCAGTGTTCCTCTCTGGCTCAGTGGGCTCTTTGCTGGGGCAATTTGAAAGAAAAAAAAAAAAGGAGAGGAAATAGAATCTGTGCTTCTATTGCACAAATCCCCCAGCTGTGCACAGATATTGCACCATGCACCCAAATATAAGCAATATTTTGGCTGGAGACCAAACAGCAAAGGTTCTGTTTCTGGTCTGCTGATAATCACCAGGCAGGACTGCAGAAGAGCAAGAGAAGCACATTGCTTTGCTCTGGGGATGAGAACTGTCCTTTGAGACAGCACAGCCTGAGACACACAGCTCTGAGACAGGGCCTGTGGGTAGCAAAGCTCAGTCCCTCCAGGGATGGGGCAGAGACACCCCATCCAGAGCAACATCATCCCATCTGGCAGCATCTCCCACCTGGATTCCTGAGCGACACTGATGACTCATTTTTAACAGAGGATGAGTCTCACCCTCAGGGCCAGACCTCTTCTATTTCTTGTTTCCAATTATCTTCAATTATTTTAAAAGATCTTTTATTTGACTTCCTACTAGCACCATCCCAAAAGCACAAGAGCCCCTGCTTGCACTTGGGATCCTCTGCTCAGACGGGTGGATTGGGCCACGCTCCTCATCTCCCCGTTTCAGATTATCCGAGTGCCGTGAGAGCACTGGCTTTGGGGATGATGTTCCTCTTTCTGTCTTCTGCTTCCAGAGATACTAAATCAGAGCTGTTTCAACAGGACCAATTTGGTCTCTCTGCACACTCATTTTGGGTGAAGCTGTAGCTTTTTAACTAGGAGTAGAGGATTTAATGAGTGTGACTTGATGACACTCATGCATAATGAAGGGCATTGTCTTCACAGGCACCACAGTGACTTTGTTCCCAAGTCTTGCCAAGTTCAGTGAGGATTTAAGCTGTAGTGACAGAATGCACTCTGGGCCTGTCAGTAAAACTGGATTTTCAACTGTTTTTAAAGGCAGTGACAAATTAATACTAAAACAGAGAAGCCTGGTAAAATTTCACACAAATATTTGTATAAATACGTATACAAAATATTTTAAAATAGCAAAACCAGGCCCAAAGTGATGAAGACTTTCTTAGACCTTCCAACAGAACCCACAATTTCAGCCTCAGCAAGTTCAAGGCTGTGCAAGGAGAGATGCCTGTGGAGCTGTGTGGGATGAGGTAGGATGGTCCAGCAGGCAGGGTGCTAATTTAGGAGATTCAGATTCAGTTCCCTCTGAGCCTCTCAGGTATCTTGTGAAGTCACTTACTCTCTATAACTGCACAGTCACTCAGCAGGGAACACTTCATCAGGTGGATACAAGGGGCAAACACAGCCCTGCTCATCCCCTCCACAGCCCAGTGCTGCGACCACCCGGCAGGTCCCACCAGGCTGAGGCAGAACTTGTTCCCTACAAATGGCACAGAACATCCTGCTCCAACATGGGGCTGCTGTTCCTCCCTGGTGGGCTCAAACAGGTCTTTAACCAGCTGAGAGCAGGGAATTGGCTCTGAAACCCAGACAGCCTCCCAGCACAGCATGTTCCCTTCCTTCAACCAGCAACTCCTGTCGCCTTCATACCCTGCCACACTCCCTCCTGTCACTGCAGAAATTACATACATTAAAAAGGAAGGAGCTGCTGTTAGGGCTGCAAACCATTCACCTTGCTGATCAAAACTCAGCCTGCCTCTTCTCCTAAGGGAACAGTGGTGATTACAGCAACCAGGAGTTGCCATCAGCACCAGCCTGCCAGCGAGAGGCTGGTTAAAGCCCAGCAGCAGCATTTCCTTGCTTTGCTCAGGGCTCTAGTACATTCTGTCACGCTTTCAGCCAGGAAAGAGCCGCCTGCTTTGAATTCTGCAGAGCCAGAAGCCACTTCCTGGTGCTGGCTGGTGGGTGGAGATGCACACAGAGGTAAACATCAGGACTTCCAAAGGAGCCAGGCTCTGGGGAGAGCTCACCTCAAGCACAGAGCCACCACGGGGCATGACAGCCACGGAGGTCTCCCTTCAGATCAACAAGAATCTCTTCATGGAGGTGACCTCACCTCGAAAGCCACAGAGGAGCAACAGGAAAACTGTCTGTCCCCCATCTGATTGCAGGAAGTCTCAGGGCTCACTGGGTGCAAAGCAAAACTCAAACTCACATGTGATAAGAAAAAGCGTCACTGAATTTCAGGGGCATGTGGGAGCTCAAATGGTCAGTGTCAAATGGGGTGTCCATGGTTCTAGAGAAGGAGGATGGATCCAGTACGGATATTGTCCCATGGCATGGAGCAGTGGGGGCAAATGACCACTGAGGGACTGCTTGGCTGAGTTACCCCGGGGGCATTTCCCATCCCTGTTTCCCTGAGCTTTACCCTCCGGGCACCCACCAGCTGCCCCAGGGTCAGGGCATCATCTGGGTGTTGAGACTCTGACACGCAAGAGCAAAACCCTTCCAGGGTGAGCAGTTCAGCCCCTCTCAGCATCAACTCAGACAGAGGCATTTTTGCTTTGATGTAAGAAAGATCAATTTTCCCAGCAGGCTCCAGCTCCCAGCCATGTGTCCACTCCTGGTGCTATAATTAAAGATCTGCTGCCTTCTCCATCGTGTGTATTTGTTTGGCTCTAGCCCCCCTCACTGCCTGCTACTGTTTGTGAGGATCAGCCCCCCCTTGCTCTGATTTCCAAGGTAACAATATAATCCTTCATCCAAACTCTGGCCTCAAAGGCTCATTCAATTGTTTTCTAGGACATCAACTACCAACCCTGCTTTGCACATCGATGGATGGTCAGAAAAAAAAGGAGAAATAACAAAAATCCACTGTTAACCACCTAAACCTTCTTGCTTTTTCTTAATTAAAGCTGAGAGGAGGAAGCATGATCCCAGCTGGTGATCCCTCAGCCAAGGGAAGCAAATGTGTGCATGGGAAGGGCAGGGCTGTAGCTGGCTCTTCCCACAGTCCAGGCTGGCTGAGCACACTGGCTCACACCAGGACTGCTCAGAGCATGTCATGCTTGGTGTGATGCTCAAAGAAAGGTTCAGCACCGGCATCTCCCCACCTGGGACAGGGAAAGGGAGGATGGGATGATGCTGACCTCAACCTAAGGCTCAGCTTCAGCCATATCCACAGTCTTGCTTAAACAGAGAGCAGGAGTCTGCTGGACTGCTCCTTACAGCAAAAACACAATTGAGGTGCTGGCACACCCTAGGAAATGCCCAGGCAGGTGAGGACCAGCAGCTGCTGGAAGGTCTAAGCCTGAGAAGCCAAGCCCAGCTGGAAAAGCCCCCAGCCAGGCTGTGGATGGTCCCTCCCTTGTCACTGCACAGCTTTGGGAGAAGCCATCGGGGACCAGAGTAAGGAAGAGGCAGAGGAAAAAGGCAAACAGCATCCAATCCATCAGCCCTACCCACAAGGTATGAGTCACGAGGCAGCTCGTGTAGCACAGCAAGGAAAAACACACAGCCCAGCAGCTGCTGGAAAGCACAGCCCTGCCTCCAGCTTTGCCAGGGGATGCCCAACGGAGCCAGACCCTGACTCTGACCCAGGCACAGGCAAAAAGTGCTTGGGCTTACTGAAGTTCTCCCAGAATCCAGTCAAGTGCATCCAGCCAAAATGCATTTCAGGGGCTTCTGTCCCAACAGACCTCTGTGCCAGTATTCTTCCTACCAAGTCAGTTTATAGAATAAAGCAGCCTAAGTGTCAGTAGGAGTGTTTGATGGATGAGCAGGTGTTGCAGGGCCTTGGAGGGGGCTCTCTAATCCCCCCTTGCTTCAGCCACGAGGACCAAGCTCCACATCCAGCCCGAGTTGTGCAGAGCAGCCTCACAGCAAAAGCACAGCACTGCTCACCACCCCTAAAGCAACCCCCCTGTCCTCTCCCTGTGTCAGTGGCAGGACTGCTGTGACCACGAGCTTCATGCTGGAGCAGCACCACAGGAAGGCACACGGGGCCAGCAGCCTGAGAGCACCGCAGGGATCCCCTGTGTGTCAGCTGGCAGCAAAGCGTGAGCACGGGCTTAAGCAATTAACAAAGCTTCTCTCTAGGATTTCAGCTCCTTGTGGATCTAAGCCTGTAAGGTGCTCACTGGATGCTGAGCATCCTCAGGTCCCACCACAGGCAACCCGTAAGGGTGCTGGGCACATCCAGGCAGCTCTGAGGACGTGGCTATCTGCACACAGAGCATGGAACAGCCAAGGCTTCAAACACAGCTTCCCCAAGGTCTGGAAAAAACAGAGGAGGAACGACAGCAAAGATGAGAGCCAGGGCCTTTCTGCTGACCACCCAGGAGCTTCCTTTCCTGCTGCTAACAGGTCTCAGACCTGCAAAGCACGGGCACTACTGAAATCCCCCGCTGCTCACAGTGTGAGTGGTGAATGCTCTGTGACAGCAATTCGCTGTGCTCTGACAGATCTTCCCACCTGAGGAACTCGGAGCACTTCGCAAAGGCTGCTGCACTCCCACAGAGCAGCTGAAGCCCAGCTGCTGGCGGTTGTTTTCTCAGAGCACACAGCTTCTCCTCTGCACCCCCGCATGCAGCTCCACAGAGTATTACTCAGTGCAGAATCTGGCCTAGAGTATTTCCCTTGGCAGGGCTCCCCAGCCAAATTTACCCTGCAAGACGCAGCACCAAAGAAAATACCTTCTTTACTTCCTCTGGCGTAAAAAGCACACTGCTTGTACCAAAAAAGCAGTAAAAAGCACATATTGCTATGTAAGGCTCATACCTTAGCACTGAACAGCCCCAAATTTCCCTCCCTTCACCCCTGGAATCCTCCTTAGCTCATGGGTGTTGAGGAGAGCTCACTGCAGCTTGAACAGCAACTTGCTGGCTGTACTTGTCACTGGAAATTCAGTTAATTCCACTCAACAGGATAAGCCACAGGCAGGAGAGGTGAGTGGCAGAAAAGCTAGCTTAACACTGTGCTTTTTAAAATCTGCAGATACCAGTTACACTACAACTGGTGACGCTTTTGAATGAATGCTACAGAAGAAAACAACCAAATGCTTTACAAAATTATGCATCACACCCAAAAGCGTGGGCAATACTTCTTCCCACTCCTTAGACTGCTTCTGGTCACAAATACGCTCATTTCTGAAACACTGGAAGGAGGCAGAGAGCAGACACTGGTTGTAATACATCCTCTGAAAGCAGACATCAGCTGCAAACGCTGGGAACCATACACTGGAGCAAGTGGTCCAGAGCTGCACTGACTGGCCTGGCACTGCAGGTGATGGGTTTTCCCCTGGGAAGCGACACATTTGAGCTGGTTTGGGGGAAAAATATAGGAGGGGGAGGAAACGTGTCAGGAGAATCGTTCAGCTGAGGCTAAGTTATAAAAATAAACAAAATTACAGTTCTCTTTTCTCCGTCACTTCAGCACCCACGGACTCCCAGCAGCCAGCCGGGATCCACAGGACTCTGCAACAGGTCATGGCCCCAAACTCCCGGGGATGGGGCTGTTCCCCCTAGGACCCCACACGCCCAGAGGAGCCCCGGGGAGCCGTCGCCGAGCAGGATGCTGTGAACACAGCTCACCGCGGCTGAAGCACCGCCAGTACTACCCCGGCGCGGCATCACCCCGCCCGGACGCGGCCCCGGCGTGCCCGCCGGCGCCGATGCCCATAACGGCGCGGCTGTGTGTCCCCGGCGCTCACCTTTTTCAGGAAGGCCATCCGCGGGCGGTACCGCTGTCCCTGGTCGAGGCGTGTGACGGTCATGGTGGCGGAGCGGCGGCGGAGCCGATGGAGCTGTGGCAGAGCCGATGCGGTGGCGGAGCAGCCCCGGCCGGGCGCACCTGGCTGCGGGCGCACACACACACACACACACACACCGGGCGGCGCCACCACCGCGCGCCGCAGCCAATCAGCGCCCGCCCACCCGCGCTCATTTGCATGAGGGGCGCGCGGCGGCCGCGGGGGGGCGCTCGAGGGAGAGCGAGGAGGGGCCTGGGATGGGATTGGGATGGGATGGGATGGGATGGAATGGAATGGAATGGAATGGAATGGAATAGAGTGTACTGCAATGGAATGGACTGGAATGGAATAGAGTGCAGTGCAATGGAATGGAATGGAAAGGGATGGAAGGAGGGGGCCAGGACCAGGTGCAGGGCCTTAGGTCTGGGTCTGGAGCAGGGATGGGGGCCAATGGTCCGGGTAGGGTGATGCGGTGCTAGGGCAGTGCTGGTGGTGCTGCAGCTGCGGTGAGCTGTGTTCACAGCATCCTGCTCGGCCACAGCTCCCCAGGGCACCTCTGGGTGTGTGGTGTCCGAGGGGGCACAGCCCCATCCCTGGGAGTTTGAGGCCATGACCTGTTGCAGAGCCTGTGGATCCCAGCTGGCTCAGGAGATCAGGCTGGGGTCAGTGTGTGCTGAAGTGACGGAGAAAACAAAGGTGTAAGGTCATTCTGGAAGGTGCTGAGTGCCAGCAGCTGCCCAGGAGAGCTGAGTTTGGGAGTCACACTGGAAACAGCCCTTGTGGTGCACGTCCTGCCCCTGGAATGCCACTGGCCTCAGGCAGCTCAACTGTGGATGCAGGAGCCAGCCGGGCGGTTTGGGGAGTTGGTGGTTTTTCCACATGGGGAAATGGTGACGAACAGTGACGAGAGGAGGACCACGGGGTTAAAGGGTTTCCTCAAAACGGAGCTGTCTCATGCCCATGGGCAGGGGAACAGCACCTGACTGGCAGCATTAGGAAACCAAGGGCTCTGTTTTCCTGGTTTCTTCAGAAAATTGTGGGGTTTCCTTCCTGTCGCTCCTTGGAACCATCTGTAATTTAAAACAGAACAACTTGTTTTATTGTACAAGTGGTGGTGGAAGGACCCAGAAATGCTCCAGGTGAGGTGCAAACACTGGCCTAAGTAAAGGATTGATTACCACCAACTGCACAAGCCCCACATACTTAGAGGAATAAAAATGGTCATTTCAACCCAAAATACTGACTTTAACAGTTCCACTGAGGAACACAGGTGTGTTATTCATGAGAAACATTTGAAAACTGGATCTACAAGTGAGCTCAGAAATAAAATTGTCTTCCAGGAGATCCAGGAGAAATAGCTCTGAAAAGCTCATGCTGAGGTGTGAGCTCTTCAGCCTTGCTGAGCTCCAAAGATCCCGGTAATTTTAAATCCTGCTGATCCCCCAGACACCCCCTCATAGAGCAGGTGTGGGTTTTTTCCATTTCTAGTCGTCTCTGACAAACTTTAATAAAGCTTCTGGATATTTCTCTCTTTATTATAAAGCTACTTGGTATCCCTACTATAGAAGATGTCCAGTGTAAACTCAGCTTTGTTACCATCTGCAAATGACCCACAGCATCAAACAGACAGTCAGAGATGAACCACATTCCACCTGTGCCCAGGTGAACCACCCCAGTGCTTAATGCTCCTGGGCAGATCTGCCACGTGAAGCACGAGGCACGTAAATCAGATTATAGAGGCTTGTCGAGGGCAGACACTCCTGGGCCTCTAATCACAAAACCCACACTTGAGGAAAGTAAAGAATTCCATAGTCCCTGACACAGTCTTGCTGTTTATGCGTGAATTTGTTGGTAGAGAAAGCAAGGCATTTGAACAGCAGGAAGAGTGGTGGAGAGCAGCAATAGCAGCGGGCTCCCTTCTGATTTCTGACTCCCCAGGTTCATCCTGGCCTTCCTGCCCCACAGATAATGTAGAAATACATTCCCTGGGGTGTTCCCTTTACCTCCCTGTACCCACTTTCTGCAGTAAATGCGGTGCTATTTATGTAGCTGCAAGTTTCCATGGATGGTCATACCCCACGCCGGAGGCAAATGATGCTGTAGTGGAAACGCGCTCATAGTCATCACATCACAGGGCAATGGTGCGTGTCCATGAGCTCTGCAGAGCCCACGGATCCCTTTCAGCCTGCACAGAGCTGGTGAGAGGTGGGTTTTGTGTCTCTGCTCTCCCTGTGAAGCCTCCATAGGTCTGTTCTCAGCAGACCCGCTCGCAACTCTCGACAGTTTCTCTCGTGGAAAGCACTGCAGAGGGAATCCCCCCCCTTTTTAAAGATCACATTTCCTACGTGGTTGCCCCTTCTTCACACATCAGAAGTTGAATCATGCAACACAAAAGGCATGTGGTGAGTAAACTACCTTTCTATCTAAGGAAACTGGGGACGGCCCTGAGGGGAAGGAAGGGGTAACATAAGTGAAGGAACGAGAGCAGCAAGCGGAGGCTCAATTTCAGCACAGTTCCTTCCAGGAAGATTTCAAAGCAGTTTACCAAAAAGAAAAAAAAAAGGTAAAAATTGTGCAAAGTGTGGCATAAAGACCTGACAGTCTCAGGTCTCCCAGCGAGGCAGTGGTTAAAGGGATATCTCCAGGGTCCCTTGTCCTGCCTGGCGGGGCACAAGCACTCAAAATGAGAAGCTTCCTTAGTAGCCACATGGGAAGAGCTGTGAGCACAAATGGGCAGCATTTGCTTCCCATCACTCCTGGGCTTTCCAGGAAAGCTAAGGAAAGAAGTGGCAAAGAGGAAGGAGAAAAGCCAAACAGAGAAAGACCTTACGCACTCTGCCTTAGAGAAGGAGCCCGGCTGCTGTGGCGGGAGGATGCAGCTGGGTTAACACCTGACCTGGATGATGCTGAGCCCTCCCCAGGGAACACTGTCATCCTCAGCACAGGAACAGCCCTTCCCACTGTGCAGCACGCTGAGAGCCATGCTCCTGTGCCAGGAGATTTGGAATGACATACCTGGGAGGTGCTGGAGAGCTGCCCAGCCAAGGGGAACATGACGGGGAAAGCAGGGAGGAAGTCAGGGACTCCCCAAGACTTGGGTGACGTGGCTGTGGAAACCCAGGAGACCTCTTCAGTTCTGGAGGTGAGATGAGAGCTGTGTCAAAAAATTGGTTTTAAAACTTAGAGCAGAGCTCAGGAATGTCTGGCTTCCACATCTGTACTAAGACCACCAGGACTTGTTCCTTGGATCACTGCTTTAATTTTATACCATATCCTTCTCTCCTAAGAGAAATGCTTTTTTTATTTTAGGTAAGGCCACATGAAACAATTCCTGTGGAATTTACCTCCACATGGAGCCATCCTCTAAGGTGTGAACACTGATACTCACTGCAGTGTTATCTGATATTTATGAGATAATACTCATCACAGATTTTGAAGGCCCTTCCAGTTGAGGCAAAGTGACATTTCCTTGTGATAAGTCAGTAACAGATAAAGATTTGCTCACTGTCTCTGTGCAGCCCCACGTGAGACCAGACCCAGAGTGTTTGCTCACCCTGGTGCCTCAGCCCAGCAGCACCAGGAAGCTCTTCTGAGACAGGCAAAGAGGAAGTACGTGCCAATTTTTCAAAATGTTTTAAAAAAATGACTCTCTTTCTGTACCGAGAACAAAAACTGCTTAGCTGGCAAGTGCCATCCTGCCTCCCCGAACGAGGGCTGACCTCTCTGGGCCACTCTCCTGGCACCTTCCCTGCAGCAGCAGGGCCAGCTGAGCCTCGGGCTTGTTTCCACAGAAGCCCATCATCCCAGAATAGTTAGGGTTGGAAGGGACTTCTGGAAATCATGCAGTCCAAACCCCCTGCCAAGGCAGCGCCACCTGGAGCAGGTGACACAGGAACGTGTCCAGGTGTGTTTTAAAGGTCTCCAGAGAGACTCCACACCCTCCCTGGGCAGCTGTTCCAGTGCTCTGTCACCCTCAACAGAACAAATTTCCTCCTCCTGTTGAGGTGGAACTTCTTGTGCTTTAGTTTATGGCTATTGCTCCTCAGCCTGCCACTGGGCACCACTGAAAAGAGTCTGGCACCGTCCTCTTGGCACCTGTCCGTGAGATATTTATGTACTTTAATGAGATTTCCCCCTCTCAGTCTTCTCTTCTTTAGACTGAACAAGCCCATGTGAAGCCAGGGCCAGGGCTGGGGAGGAGGACACGGACAGGAGTGTTGCCACCGCTCCTGTGTTGAGTCCTGTGTCAGTTCTGGGCCCCTCAGCTGAGGAAGGACATTGATTCTGGGGTTTAGTCCCTTCTGCCGTGCCTACAGTGAGAGGACAAGAGGACATGGCCTTGAGCTGAGACAGGGGGGATTCATACTAGACATTAGAAAAACCAATTTTCACTGTTAGGGTGGGGTCAGGCATTGGAATAGGTTTCCCAGGGAGGTGGTGGAGTCACCATCCCTGGAGGTGTTCGAGAGGCATCTTGGACCTGGTGCTGGGTGGATGGTTGGACTGGGTGATCTTAAAGGTCTCTTCCAACCTCGATGATCCTGTGAAGTCATTCTCCACCTTCAACTTTGTTCTCCATTACCAAAGCACTGTAAAATTGCAATCATGTGAGCCTATAAACCTTTAACTCAATTACACAGCAGCGCCCTGTGCCTGAGTGTTCTTTCACTGTGCCTGTTTCCTCAGGAGCAACCTGGCTCCAGCAGGGAGGCACGGCCTGGACCTGCTCCAGAAACGGTGCCGAAAGTCTCCGTTTCAAGCTTAAGTTCAAAGCGAGTTGGGGGATTTCTTAAGGAAGAGGGAGAAAAAGTTTTAAAAGCAATTTGAGCGTAGTTAAAGGGCAACTAGAAGTAGGACAAGAGGCAGGTAGGTTTAGGTCGGACATTAGGAAGAAGTTCTTTACAGAGAGAGTGACTGGGCATTGGAGTGGGTTTTCTACAAACACCTGAAAAGAGGTTGTAGCCAGGTAGGAGTCGGGCTCTGCTCCAGGGAACAAGTGGCAGGATGAGAGGACACAGTCTTAACCTGTGCCAGGGCAGGTTCAGATTGGACATCAGGAAGAATTTTTCATAGAAAGGGTGATAAGACACTGTAATGGGCTGCCCAGGGAGGTGGTGGAGTCCCCATCCCTGGAGGTGTTTGAGGAGAGACTGGATGTGGCACAGATGGTGGGCCAAAGGTGCTGTTGGGCAAAAGGCAA